ATACATGACATAGTCCAATAGGCGACGGTCTTCAGGAATCAAGAGTACTACGCTGCGAATGCCGAGCCGCAAGTATGATATGATCGAAGGAGTCAACCCCCGCGTAATGCGTTGATTTGTTGCAATTGCAGCTATTTTTGAGCAAGTTCTTCCAGTGGGAGGGGTGAATTTGAAGCCAGGTGTGGGTTGATAAATCGATACTTCGAGCAACAGCGATCGGGATGGAAATGCGACCACAAGGGGAAATCGAAAGGACCGCAGATGCTGTGCCGTGCGGTTGGATATGAGGGTTTCATTCGATGAAGACAAGGGCACCGGATTCTGAGCGAGATGCGAGATATAGTAAGATGAGGTTTTTGAGGCGGTCTGAGTTCGACAAGTAAGCAAGCCATCGAACTTCCAGCGTTTGTCACCTATTCCAGCCATAAGTTACAGCCATACGTTGCCGCTTCGAGAACTCGCCCATCGAGTCCAACCAAACTCAATCGCATGATGCAGCAAGCTGGCCGGAAATTGTCGCCCAGAGGTTCCGGCTTCTGAGATTCCGGCTTGGAGAAAGGCGACGAATATAATAGCACGCAGTAAGAGCCTAGAGGATTTCGACCGTCGTGAGCAAGCTCCTGCAGTCGAGCACATCGTGGTCGTCGCAGGAAAGCAGCCATTCCACGTGGCCGGTGCCGTTTATTCCTGATCGGCATCTCCGGCACCAAGTTCCGGTTGATCTCCGGCTTCCCACCATTTTTTATCACCTGCCCAATGCCCCACCTCCATTCTTCCCTTCATCTCAACTCTTCCCCGCATCTCCCCACGTCTCGAATGGACAATCCAACTTGGAACGACACCCTCCGCGCCTCGCTCACGTCCTGCGTCCACATTCCCTGTCTCGCGCGGTTCACTTCAACTTCTTCGGGGGAGTCGGATACGGAAAACGAGACGCGCAGAGCTGGAGTAGGTAATTCGGGCGCAGCGGGGTACGCACGCGCAGAAGACGACGAGGACTCAGCTGAAGCCATCTCACGAGGCGGCGACGCCTCCGAGATGTGTCGGCGTGTTTTGTGGGCTGAATCTCTTCGGGGCTCAGACGACGACGAGACGCGGCGTTGAGGTACCTGAGGATGGCGCGGACCCGCTGCACCGTGCTCCATTCAATAATAATTCCAACTCGGGAAGCGGTGGGTTTGCGAAGGGGAATCCAAGACGCTCGGGTACGGGAGAAGCCGGGGCGGAAGGGTTTCGCGACGAGGCAGCTGCAACCCTCCCGGAAACGGACGCCAGGCGCGCGAGGAGACGTGCACGCAAGGAGGTCAAGCGTCAACGGGGGCTGCGGCGCTCGCTCAAGCGTTGTTGGAATTGGAGGGCGTCCCCGGCGCCAGCTTCGATTTATCCTCCTACCCTCTACCGCTGGGTACTTCTTCACATCCAACGATCCCCGCGCGTATGCATCAGCAAGACGACGACGACGCAGATGCGGACCTCGACGGCGGTGCATATGCGCGGCTCGCACCTCGAGGTGCGGCATCGGCGGGTGGTTCGCATTCAAGCGGGCGTTCGAGCTCGACTGGAGAGGGAAGTGGGTCCGGATATACGGGTTCTGATTCTGGTTATACGGGGTATTCTGGTACGTCTGAATCATTTTCACCGTGTGTGGGCAGTAAGCTGAGCTCGACACGCAGGCTTCGTCCCACTAGCGAAAAAGTCAAAATCCCAGCGCATCCGGACAGTCGGGAGCCGATCGAGAGCGACGAGTAGCACGCTGGTGTCTCCTCCGCCGACTATTACTTCTTTCGCGCTGCCCCATGCTGGGAAGATGGAGCCTTTCGCAGAGGATCGACAGTACATCAGGCGGATTTACGCAGTCTTTTGCTCTTTCGCAGGCGCACAAGGTGCACATCCGAGTCGCCAATCCCGTAGGGGAGGAGGCGGAGGAGTTCGACGGGACGCAGGGATTGTAGCTTTCTTTTCGGGACGCAGGGGTCTTGCGGGCGTCACTGCTATCTACGGAGAGAGAGATTCCATGTGGGGCGCAGGTACTGGTTGCAGACCCGTTCTGTAATGTTTGATTCATTCATCCGCGCCTTCGTCTATTCCGAATCCGTTGGGTTCAACGATGGTTTTTCACTGTATGCAAGGCGCCGGTCGTGTGCGACACACATCGCCTTCCCGTTTGGTCTGTTTCCATCAGCTTCTAGGCGGAGTCGGGCGTTCGACTCCCCACCGCTGCATGGACCCGCTCAACCTCTCTCTCCTTTTTTCCCTTCCTTCGCAGTTCAGATTATCTCGAGTCAGCCCGCATGCAAAGGTTCATGCATCGACGGGGAGGGGATAAATTCGCATGGTGAGCAGTTATTCTTTCGCGTGTGAAACCGAAATGTACGGGCTCATCGTGAATTCAGGATAATTTCATCATTAGGACTATGCTGGAACATATGGATAGAAAAGCACTGGTCGTGTGCGGCACACATCGCCTTTCTATAGCTCGGCCAACCGAGATTCCAGGCGAAGTCGGGGTTCGACTCCCCACCGGTGCATGTTCAAATATGTCCCCATCGTTTTTCTTGGTTGAGGAACTGAGAGTGGGTTGATTTTTTTTTGCGCTTAGTGCGGGCGGATACAAAGGCGGTTTGTGTATCGATGTAGTCTGAAATTCCACGTGAGTACCCAGTAACCGCGGCGCTCTTTATTTCGAGGGCGTGTCAGATGGACTAGCAACAACACAATCAATCAATCACGGTCAAGGACTCTCCAACCGAATACTGGAGAGCATCGGTCGTGTGCGGACACACATTGCCTTTCTGTCCGAAAGGGAAGCGAGATATCTCCGGGCACAATCGTGGTTCGACTCCCTGCCGGTGCATAGCTCGTCGGTCCAATCACTTTTTCTGCGTCGAGGAACTGAGTGTTGTTTATTTCTTTTTCCTCTCACGGTTCGAGGACAACGTACGTTAACGCGGTTGTCGGCAAGTTTTATTTCTAACGCGGATCTGACAGACTCGAAATCAATTCATTACGAGTAACTTAGTCAACGCCAACCACACCACACAGGAAGAATTATGAGCACCGGTCGTGCGCGGTTCACATCGCTTTCAATGTGCGTTTCTCAACGATTCAATCGGGGGTTCGATTCTCCACCGGTGCATAGCCCACTGCTGTCTTCGTTTTTCTTCTTCCTCTCACCGCTGAACGGTTTTCGTTTCCTGGCTGTCGCAGCTCGAGGAGATGTGCATGAACTTTATTGCCGCAATGCGCTGGCGGATAGAAGATGCAGTGCGGAAGATTGAAAGATGCAGGTAAGCAGTGTTGTGCTGCCGGAATTTAACCGCGACGAAGTGTACATTGATTCGGGGATGACTCGGTCAAGAAAACTGGAACGCAAGTGATTATAAGCACCGGTCGTGTGCGGCACACATCGCCTTCCTCTCAAGGCATCGTCTTTCTTCAGGCGGAATCGGGGGGTTCGACTCCCCGACGGTGCGTGCAGCGGGATCACCAAGCCTTTTTTTTCGTCTCACAACTCAATATGAAGCTTGTTGGTTTTGTTTCGTTGGCAGGAAATGTTGGTACCAATTTCGTGCATCGATGAAGTCGGGAATTCCAGGTGCGCAACAAGTATTCGTATTGCGGATCTGTTCTGAATCTGTAATGTTTCATTTGTTCATTCGTTCGATTATTGCACTGTGACTCCAACGATGGCGTTTCAATGTATGCAAGGCACTGGTCGCGTGCGGACACACGGCGCCTTTCATTGTTTCAGGACTACTGCTCCAAGGCGAAACTGGGGTTCGACTCCCCACCGGTGCATTCCCTTGGGCTGTAGGATTTTCTATTGCTTCCGCAGACCGGGGACTGAGGCCTTTTGATTTCTGCTCGGGCAAGTTGAGCAGCTGTGCGTAAATTTATTGCAGCAATACGGCGCGGTGCAGGCAAGCCCTAGTTAATTGCACAGTCATGTTGTGCTGCCGGAAGGCGACAGTCCACATCGACCAAATTTACAGACAACTCAGTCAAGGAACACCTCAAATGAAGCATAGAAAGCATCGGTCGTGTTCGGCACACGCCGCTTCCCAATCTGGCGGCCGCAATGGTTCCGGGCGAGACTGGGGCTGGTGCATAGCTCATTCTTCCAATCCTTTTTGATCCTACCAGGAACTGAACATGTAGACTGTTTATTTTATCTCATGGCTCGGGAGGTGCAAGGATACCATGCTTGCATGCTAACTACAGGTAAGAAACACTGATTCCGTGTGTTCAGCACCCTGCATTTGACAGATTCGGACAGATAATACATTAATCGACCTTAAGGACGCCTGAAACGAAGGATGGCGGGGCACCGGTCATCTGCGGCACACTTTGCCTTCCGAACTACGGCTGGGATACAATGTTTCTCGGCGTGACTGGGGTTCGACTCCCACCGGTGCGTAAGGAAGAGGTATACAGATTTTTTCTCAAATTTTGTTCTCAATTCCACAACTAAGGATGGATGAGGATGGTGATCTCGCTTTCATCCATGCTCGGATATTTTCCCAGTCGTGATCAGACGAAGCGGTACGACGTCGGAAATCGAATTGATACGGCGAGCGCCAGTTACAGCCCGCATTTCCAGGCTAGGGCTGAATTATAAGTGATTCGAGACAAAAAAAATACTTTAAAAGAGGTGAGGGAAAGCACTGGTCGTGTGGGGACACACACCACCGTCTCATTATGGCCCTGGCGACCAGCTTTCCGAGGTGGGATTGGGGTTCGACTCCCTGCCGGTGCATCTGGCGAACGTGCAGTTTTTCCCCCCCCTTCTTTTGCTGGTTCCACAGCTTTGAATTCATTTTCCCTCTTGCGATTGATATTGACATTGGAGGTGCATCGGAATTTCTGTCTAAATGACGTTAAGATGGCGAGTACTAGTAGGACTTTTGTGCGACGCCTCGAATTTGACAGAGTCGACATGAAGTTATGATCATGCCCAGGCGAAAAGTGAATAGATGGTTGAAAGTAAGCGTTGTGGAAAGGCACCGGCCGTGTGCGGTCACACCTCGTCTTCCTATTATAGCAGGGTTTCGTTGTTTCTGAGGCGAAGTGGGGGTTCGACTCCCCACCGGTGCATTGCGTGGGAGGCCGCTTCGTTTTTTTGGTTTGGTGTGTGTTTGTGTTTACCAGATTCCAGATGAACTGCCCTTGGATCGGTCAGCCAATGTGAGGGAAAGCACCCGCCCCACGCGCCCACGCGGCGCAGAAAAAAACGAAGGAGTTCCTGGCGAGACCGGGGTTTGACCCTCCACCGGCGCAGAGCACCTGTCAGGCAAATGTGCTTTTTGCTTGTCCTATAACAGAAGGAAGTTGTTTCTGCGCAGCGAATTGCGATTTTATCGGAAGACCAGCACCAGCAATGCCACCGATGCGGAAAACAAACAAAGGACATAATGTTGCGCAGCTGTTTCCCGCGTGGGACGGACCCGGAATGCCCAGAGTTATCGGAGTACTGTATTTTTTCATTCAGATCGACAGCGGGTGTGACGGGTGACCTGGTTTGACCAGTTCGATAATTCGACACGACCCTTGGGACAGCGTGACACGCCCCCAAAAATTCGATAACGGGCCGCAGACTGATGAAAATTGTGTAGGGGATCTTCCTAACAATTCCAGGATTAATGCACAACTGATTCCTGTTGAAGAGATGGTTGGTTTAAATCGAGAATAAGGGAGTTTTGGCAGCGTAGAAATGCAGCAGCGCCAGAATGAAGGGAGCTCGCGAAGATTCAATTAAATAAGCATAGAGAATTTTTTCCGGGTGATTTTTCGGGACGAGAGGCAAATTTTGACGGTTTTTTTGACATTGGGACGAATTCGACAACCGGCCGCGTGACGCGTGACCTTGACCGAAATTCGATATCGATAGAGGGGTGCGTGACGCGTGACTATCGATCTGAATGAAAAAATACAGTAATTAGTAAATATCCATTCACATTATGCAGGCATTAAGGCAGTCGTTGAAATGTCTCGAGCTCGAAGAAGCGTAGAATACCAGCAAAGCAGCGGCAGAGGGTGGACCGGTGGAAATATGGGTGGCTGGAAGCTCAAAGGATGGGGGAGAGGTAGAGAGACATGCATAGAGGATATGCATACAATGTTGCTCATTAAGGAGTGCGACTGCAGTGGCTGAAGTGAGAAGTAATACGAACGAGTTGACTGGTAATGCGAAGATACAAAGGCTTCAGACTCTTGTTGTTCGGTCTAGTGCTGTCCACATATGATATTAATACGAAGATTTGCGTATTATATTATATTATTATCATATTACCGTTTCCAGCATCGTATTATATCCATATTATATCGCTCCCGTATTTATTAATATGTATCAGAATATATTATGGATATATTCTTAATATCTTTCAGGGTTTTTTTACTGGTCCATTCTTCAATTTTTCGCTCTGTATAACTATCCAGGTTGCTGGAGGACATTCATCATCACTTTTAAGACCAGAGAGAATCAGAAAATTGATTCATATTAGCTTCTTGATGAAAATGTTACGTTTTGATATCCTTCAATGTTCAACTCCTATGTTCACCCCAAGTTCAAATACACTGGTTCAAACCATTTGTGGTACACTCACCATATTGATTTGTGGAAAGCCTGTTGGGCACAAATACCAAATTAAATACACTATACTAGTAAGTCACCCAGGTATCAATGATCAGAAAGTAAACATACACAACTGGAGGATTGTGTTCAGTCATGATGAGTAAATTTTGGTTGCTGTTGTGAGTTGTACTCTGCCTGGTGATATTATGGTATTTCTGGAGGTGGGAGAACCCAAAAAAGTGGTAAAATGAACCCCAAAGGTGCCTGGGAACTGTGCTCAAAACATCATAATATCAGAATGATACGCATAATATGGTCCTGGCATATCATATTATACTCGTATCATATTATATCATATCAGCCCGTATTCATATTTTTGTCATCGTCTTGAACCCGTATTATATCTGTAATATCATGAATTATTAATATCATATTATTGCGTATACCAAGGCCCTCCGGGCACCCCTGGTACCATTTAGGACCTGGTGCTATACACTGACCTCCACATGCTTGAACTGAATGCAAAATAAAAACTTGTATGCGTAGTTGCTGTACGTGCCGCTCGTCGCCGACCTTCGGTCGCTCCTCGCGGCACCGATGGGAAGATCAGAGATATCCAGAGCGAAGCAAGGTTTAATTTGTAGGAGCACTGAAACCACAGCACCAAAATTTACCAAAAACCTGGGTTCAACCAAGGTTCAACTGTCAATAATACCTGACAATTACATAATGCAGTCCACTGACCAGGATGCAATTGTGGCAATTAATTCATTGTGATTCAACAGATGAGTTGAGTGCCAAGTGAAAGGGTACCATATATTCCTAGCAGAAGTCAAATGAGATACTGTAAGTTCTTGATGAGGAATAAATTATTGACTGAAGAACAGACATCTGATGTGCAGAGAGCGGGATCTTTGAGAGCAGGTTGACGCCTAAAGAGATTTTCGGATTCATTTGTGTATTTAAATATTTATTTTTGAACCTTCGGAGCTCGGACCGTCATGATCGGATTGTGTTTGACAATTCGTTTGGTAGACCTGGATACCAAGGACCTCCCGGCACACCTGGTACCCTCTCTGGATGTGGAACTGGATGCCATACATAGTATCCGGTCTGTGGACAATATGCATTTATTGGAACCTTTCAAACACATACCCAAATGATTCAACCTTTATGTTAGTTGGCCGCTTCGTGCCGCTCGTCGCCGACCTTCGGTCGCTCCTCGGGGCACCGGCGGGAAACTAAGGCAAGAAAATATCCATAATATCAATGAAAAGAGTCTTCGCCAGATAGCACTCACCATTTACAAAGTCAGACAACACAGCTGTGGCCACCTGTGGAAGAACTGTAAAATGAAATTAATACGTGAAAGCTGTGAGCGGACTTGAAGCACTGCATACCAAGCTGCATACCTATTATTTGTGACTCGGGCTGTAAAATTGAGAAAGCAACAGTCCTGGATAGTAGTTCCTAAGTTCAGGTAGTTTTTGAAGAATAGATGTTGGGAGTTACATGATTTTCTGAGACAATGCCTTCAGAGTATAAATTGGACTTCCGGATTAATTTGTTTATTTAAATATTTAATTTCCTCTTCGGACCGGGGATCCGACATGATCGGTGCATGACAGGCGTTTTGACAATTCGCTTCGGAGACCTGGTAACGGTACCAGGAATTATATTTATGGACAGCACTAGAACTTCGGTCCCTTCAATTGTGTCGCAAAGGTCGGTGCGGCAAGATAGAATCCAGTCCTTAAATGCTGGTGGTGAGATTATGAATAAGTAATGGGCCCGGGCAAGGCCTTGCACAAGGTTGCACAGCGCCCTCCAAGTCGAAGTTGAACTTAACGGATCACTTCGGATCAAATAACTTTGAGTTTTTGATGCCTGCCAAGATTTCGGCAATCTCGGACCGCTCTCTTCTTGCCACCACCTCAAACATCCTCGAACCTCTTCACTTTGAACTGGTATACGAAATCCATGACGCACGGGTACGCGAGACGCCGGTGCAGATGTCTTGTACAACACAGATGTAGCAGTACGGGCGGAAGCGGGTGCCGCGAAACGCGCGGAGACGCGCACCCAACAAGCTACGGCGTCAACCGGAGGCTGTCGCTCGCGCCCGATCACAGTTCCAGCTTCATAGGGATGTCGAGGTTGTGCTCAGCGGCGACTACACACATCCTTCCCCTCACGCTACAACTCCGACGCCTCAACAGGAATACGAGGAGGACGATGCAGATGCCGGCCTCGACGGCGGCACATACGTGCGCTTTGCACCTAGAGATGCAGCATGTGCGGGTGGGTCGCGTTCAAGCGGCGAGGAGAGTGGCTCTGCATATTCAGGTACGTTGTCTGCAGGTCATTGCAGTAAGCTGAAACCGATACGCAGCGGCACACTTGCGCCACTGCCGCCGAGTGTTGCCTCGTTTGCGCTGCCACATGCCGGCAACATGCAGCTGTTCGAGGAGGAGTTCGATAGGGGAGTTGGTAGGGACGCAAAAGTTTTAGCTTTTCTTGTCGGTGGGATTTCAAGGGAGAGATTTATTGTGTGTGTTGAGTGCGTTTTATTGATCTATTCTGTTGCATAATAATCCACATTACTTGCCTCCCGGAACTCGGTAGCGAGCGTGGACCGATCCCATTCAAGTTCATCCCACGGATCTGTTGCGAACGGCCATGGTGCTATGGATACACCTCTATTGAGCTCAAGACTCTTACAAGTTACAATTCGTCCCAGAGCTAGACAAGTCTGCATCCAACCAAATCGTAGTTAGTTCCTTCTCTTATCGACTTCTTGATTCTCCACAGATCCAAGAGAGGGAATGAGAAGTAGATCCGAACGTGGAGGATTCTGCCCGTCTCTGTCGGAAAAAAGCTGTTCAGCATGCAACGGCATGGTACAGCATGCGACCTTGGGACGGCTTCAGAGTGGTTCGAAGGCGTGGCGGACGGACTTCGAAGCACTTTGAAGCCGTCCCAAGGTCGCATCTGTGTTCCAAGCTGTTGCATGCCATCCCAAGCTATGTACCACCAGCGCGAACATAATGGTTTTTGGGGGCCACACAATACAGTGAAAAGCAAAATTAATCTACATTATTCACCCGCAGATACATATCCTCATCAATACAATCAATAAGGTAATGCATACCGTCCTTCCGTTCTCGGTTCCCAGCATTGTATTCGAGATGGAGGAGAGTGGTGGGTGTTGCAGCAGCGGCGAGTCGGGCAGAGATGGGTTTTGGGCTTCGCTACGACGGCGAGCTCCTCGCTCGTGTGTATCATTGGATGATATGCGTCGAGGGATGCAGCGACGAGCCATTGCGTTGAGGGTCTAGGGCGCCGGATGTGCATTTTGGGGAGGTGGAGCAATGATGTGATAGATTACAGCATGTGCAATATATAAAGCCCCACTCTTCTCGCCGCAACTCCACCTCTTCCTTTCTTTCCACCACCACCACCGTGGCACCGTCATCCTCACTCTCAGTGTTCTCGCTCGAGGTATGCATGTGCACTGGCCGCT